CTAAGATATACTCTTCTACTGATCCTATATTAATGTTTTAACGATGAGCTTGCCTTGCTACAAGTCGAGGGAGACAAATATTAAACACGTATAGCTCTGCTTTTGACTCAACAATAAAATATAAAATATGAAATTCTTCATCAACATTAGTCATAATTTCCTTGAGTTCTGATAAAATGCTCTCCGCTATTCTCATCTTCTTAATCAAATCAATGTCATGTTTTTAAAAAGTAATACTTGTATAATTGAATAATACATTCTAATAAGAAATAAAATTTGGAATAAGCATTGAATCCAACAATTTTCTTGCTTCTGAGGAAATATTTCTTTCACCATTGTGATATTTTAGTAATAGCAAATAATTGGCTCTTCTAACTCCTTAATAGCTGTTAGTGCTTGATGGAAGAGGCTCTATCTCGTTGGACAAGGTTGCAATTTCTCTTTCCCTGTTGGACCAGAAGTTTCAGAAATAATTATTATTTGACTAGAAATTTGAAAATGGTAGATAAATATTACGCCACTAAAAATTTGAAAATAATAAGTAAATATTACCCCGGAAAACTTGAAATCGAAATTAATTGATAAAATAACTTATGAATGTGATAATAAATGTAATAAAATATATATTTAATATGAGATACGAATAAACAAATATAAATTAATATAAACAAAAATATTTTTGAAAAATATATCCGGCATCTGTATTTTTTGGCTTTGGGGGGGGGGGGGGAATTTGTCCCCCTGCCCCCCCCCCCCACTGCGTACGCCAATGTATTTTTTTATTGAGGTATGTATGTTTAGAATAAAAAGAATTTTTTTTATCAGGCAAAACATAAACATACTTTAAGGAAACCAAATGATAAATTTTAATATTTTTGCCAAATAAAGCTAATAAAACATTTTATATTTTATAGAATACGTTAAAGTTGATTAAATTCAATATAATTCACTTTTTGACTCATTCTTTAGTATACAAAAAGTTTACTTTTATTTTCCAATTAATTTGATGTTCATTTTTTAATTAGTCTCATTTTAATTATGAAAATATAATTTTCTAATTATTTTGAAGAAAATCAAATAGTTAAAAGCTTTTAGATTGGAGCTATTTAAGGACTTTTGATTGGTTATGAGAGTAAAGCATTTGTGTTATATGTTACTTTGTGATATTCGATTTACCTTAGAGATATTGTTTGCATGTTTTTAACTTTTATTCTATTTTATTTAAAATTTGTTATTTTCTTTATCAGAATATATTAGGGGAAATGTGCCATAAATGGCCATGTTTGAAGACTGCCCATCCCCATTTAACTTTTTATCTATTGGACCGATTTTTCTCAAAATTGGTCAAAATGTGTATATTTATGATATGTTTATTATTTAAGTTTATTTATTGAATAGAGCAATCCAATAAAAAAATATTTTAAATAAACTATTTTTAGTACCTCTTTCTAGAAAAATCACGTTACACACTTTTTTGATTGGTAAAAAAATTACTGATTTAGATTACTGATATTTTATATAAATATTATCCTCAGGCATTTAACATTATTCACACCAAAAATTAGACTTTAAATTTTTATTTAATAGACATATAAAGGCGCTTAATAATAATAGAGAGGTTAGTATTTTCTGGCCATGTATTGATTGGCCACAATTCGCACATTCACATATTTATATTGAAATGAAAAGTTATTACAAAACACCATTTGGTGAAATTTCAAATGATGAACAAACTTAAGAATATTTAGCAAAAAGATAATTAAGATATTAATTTATATTATTATCATTTAAATAGATGATTAAATCGGGATATTAATACTAATTAAATTAGTGTATAATTAATTTTTTATATAACTAAAAAATGTAGAAATATTAGCATAGGTCTTTTAGAAGTATTTCATATTGTATTATCATATTTATAATAAAATTCTTAAATGATATATTATGGCCAGTTAACACATATATGCCAATTAACACATATATGGCCAGTCAAGTCAATGCATAGTATGTAATGACTGGCCAGAAAAATAACTTTCACATAACCCTCATCTAGCTCATAAACTATTTAGATAGAGCTTTGATTCAAATTTTATTTAAAGGATTATTAATTATGTAACACATTGATATAAAATTTGTTTGGTTAAACCCAAATTTTAATACCTTATTTTCAAAAAAGCAAAAACATGGCCATTCATGGCATATTTCCCCTATTTATTACTTTTTAAAACGTTTAATGTTTCTTTTATTTTCATCAAAGTATCTATTAACTTTAAGCGACTTTTCAATTAATTTTATTATTTCAGAATCTATTAACAAAAAAAATAACTTTTAATTTTTGTAATTTTTTACTAACTTAAAGTCAAATGATTTTTTTTATTGTTATATGTACATAGTGATACTTAAATACTATATATTCTGTGAGACACGCGATTATATGATGTTGAAATTAAAATGTAATTAATTTATTGATAAAAGATTTGATTAAACATTGCGTAAGTTGCACTATTCAAATAAAAGATAAAATATGATGATAATTTATTATCAAGAAGACACAATTTCTTTATTTTGAGCAGAGAATAGATATATATATATATTATAATTAATTAAAGTACGGAGACCGGGGATATAATGAACCCGTGGTTATAGCGAGACGTGGCTTTATTTTCTAGAGTATTAAACTCTAAGGGATAATTTTTTAACCAAAACTATATAATTATATAATGCATATGCGGCTATAATTTTTATTTCTATCGGACAGCTGGATTAAATTTTATAATGCATTATATGATTCGTACCTGCAAAAGTAACTTTTTAAACCTTTACTATTTTTAAAAAATAAAGATTAATATACATTTTTACCACCCAAAAATCATCTTATATTAAAGATAAAAATCCTATTTTATAGAATATCAATTTACCCGAACAAAATTGATATAATAAATACTTCAAAATATGATCTTAATCAAAGTGGTGGCATTGGCGCTATTTTTATGTATGTCAGTTTTAAATTAAGGTTAGCTATATCCCACACCCAATCGCCCCTTATAATTTTTTTTAACTTTGCTACTCAAGGGTTAATAATTATTATACATATAATTTATTGCGATCTAATTTTATTTAAGGTAGCATATTACAGCTGTCCTCATACAATATTACTTCATTGGCATTTTGTATAAGTAATTCTTGTTTTTTTTTATCCTATGCATCCTAACAATTTTATCTGGTTAAGTTGATAAATATAAAATAAACTTTACTTCTATTAATGAATTATTTAAATCAAAGATTTGTTGGTAAAATCTGCATAGATTATGGATTATTTAAAAAGGAATATATCTATTTTAAAATCTAGATTATATAAATATGATGTATAAAACAATCATTGGTATTGTTCTAAAGACAACATATACTGTGAAGATACATTTCTCAATGCGTCTTATAAAAAACATAATTAAGCTGTACAGACTATGACAAGGTATTAAGTGGTCTAACTACTCTCAGTTGCATAGAGAGAGAATAAAAAATAGTACAGTGGAATGAATAAGAGTATGATGAATTCCTGAGAAAATATGCAATTGAGGTAGGTGAGCATATCATGTATTCCTGAAGGTTTCAATTTTTATTGGTGTATGAACAATTTATTATATATTATATAAAATGATAGATCATCAACAAAAATAAGCCCCTCCCCCGAGCTGCCCTTCCCTGGGAAAAATTCAGGCAACGTTATTGGGGAATTTATTATATTATTTATATAAATTAGTACAACACGAGAAGGTCTTAAAAAAGTTTATATAATGTAGAAATTACTAAAGTAATGTGATAAAGATTAATATGTAGATATTTTTATCAAATAAAATAAAAAATTAATCTATTTGGGCAATATTTTTATTTTCAACAGCAATATTTATAAATTTTTAGGCAGTAAATTAATCAAAATGGGTAATATTTTTATTATAAAATGTATAAATAATTTGGGTAGTATTTATAAAACATTGAGCGATAGAAAAAATAAATGAAGTTGATCTGTAAACTTAAATTTTCCTTATTTATTTATAAGTTGTTTAGTATTTTTATAATATCTCTTTTTATTATAAGTTATCATATATATTATTATTATATGAAAATTAACATAGACAAAATTACTAAATTAACAAATATAATGAGATCCATAATGAAATTGCAGTTTTTATTGAATATTTTGTAATTAAAGAATTAGGATTTAGGATTTTCCAGAAATTATTTTAGCATAGACTATTTTTCTACAATTTTCTGAGCAATAATTTGGAAATGAAATTATAAATATTTTATTTTAAAGTATTTTCAACATTAATTATCACATTTTTTCTTCTAATGTATTATTGGTGCTAGGTGTTTAAACAATTCTTATAATGTGTTCTTTTTATCCTGTCCAAATAATATTAAAACTAATTAAAAATTCTTTAAAAAAATAAAGTTAGATTTTTTTTTATATGAGAAATTAACTATTCTGAATTTTTTAATTTAGTTAACTTAATTTTATATAAACAATTATGCATTATCAAATTATCTCTAAAACAAAATCTGAAATCTTTAAGAATTATTGAAAATAATCAATAATAGGTTAATAAGTTTACAATTAATAAGTGATTATCAAGAAAATTAGTTATAAACGCACCTTTTTATCACTGTGACAATTGACCATTTAAAAAAATTAAAGAAAACATTAAGCATTAATTTTATTCCAATTTTTTTATAATAAATTTAAAAAATAATAAAGTTCGATATTTAAATATTTTTCAAATTTATTATAGATATTCGATAAGTTTATTTATTTTTAATTTTACAAGCGAAAGTTAAAAAATTTCCCATATAGCTCTTAATTTATTTTATATAATCTTGCCCTCATATCAACGTCATAACGATACGTTATTTTTATATTATATATTTTATAATATAACAGATGGGATTATTCTTCATAATATAGTGGATCTAAATTGAATAATTTGTTATACGTGCGCTTAATGGAAGAATATCTGAAAATAGTATTACTGCTAAAAACTTTGATAATAGACCATTATGGTCTTAATTCTCAATATAGTTTAAATGTAAATAATACATTATATAATGATAACAAAACTATGTGGCTAATTGATAATTTCGAGAAAATCTTTTCCAGCAACAAAAAATTATCTAATATTACTTCAATGCAACTTAATCAAAATTTTAATAAATCAAGATTTAATATTGCGAATAGAAATTTATATAAAAGGAGTCTATTATTAATTAATATAACCAAAGAGTTGAAAATAAATCCAGTTATCTTAGGCAACATTAATACAACTATAAAACCAAATTCAAATTACATAGGAATGGATAAAGGATTCGACCTTTCAAACTTTGATCCAAACATTTTATTATCGCCTAATGCAAATAATATAGGTAAATCATTTGTAATGCCAAACATAAATAAACGGCGATTTGAATCTAACACCGAAATTATTTTAATTGTTATTTATAGTTTGGTTAGTCTTATAGGTACAATAGGTAACGGTTTAGTCCTCATTGCTTTAATTTTTAATAAACGTATGAGAAAATCACCCAGGAATATTTACATATTAAATTTGGCTTTCTCCGATTTAATTTTGTGCCTCTTTACTAGTCCATTCACCATATCTAGTCTTGTTAAAAAAGATTGGATATTAGGTTTGTTTATGTGTAGACTGATTTCTTCACTTCAGGCTACTAATGTATTTGTTTCGACGATGAATATAACAGCAATAGCTGTTGACAGGCACCAGGTTATTCTATATCCAACATCCCATTTAACTCATTCTAAATTTCCTCATAATATAAAGGCTCGAACATCTATACCCAAAACCACAATGGATAGCAATAATAAACCAGACAATTATAAAAAAAATCCCAAAATTATTAATTTAAAAAAATTAAGCACACAATATATTCCTTTGTTAGCTTCCTTATTCAAGCATCCATCATCGCGTATATCAAACCCTTTGGCTTATTCACTTACGAACATTAAATCAAGTGCCAATTCTCCTGACATGAAAACTGAGGATGCAGATTTTGAGCCAAACAAAAATTTATCTTGCATTTCTACAGGTAATGAAGAACAAAATACTTCTAATACATTTAAATGTTTATCAATAGGTTCAAATATTATCAGTTGTCCTACTTTTTATGAGGAAAATAAATCTATGCCAAATACAAACTTATCAAATGATTATAATATAATATCTTCATGTTTAACATCGTTAACACATTTGTTTATATGTTGGAGAGTTCACATTATGAAAATATTTTATAGATTTAAGATTGGATTAGTTATAATATGGCTAGTATCTTTAGCTATGGCTACCCCTTTATTTATTTATCACTCTGTAATTCCTATAGAATTATTTGGTTATAAAATATGTTATGAAAATTGGCCAACAGGTACAAAAGGACGAAGTCTATATTCATTATGTTCGTTGTTGTTTCAATACGTTTTACCCTTTTTAATAGTCACGATATCTTATATCAGAATCGCTCTAAAATTGCGCGCTCAAGAATATCTTACGAAAAAACATACTTTAATGCATCAAAATATTAAACCTATTATTAAAGGTTCGAAATCAATTAAATTCAATAGGTTTACCTTGTTCAAAAATATTAGAAGTAAAAATTATCAGAAACGTCAAATTAATAATGATCACCAAGATATTTTAAATCAACTAGATTCAGAAAACAAAAATGATTCTCCATTATTAGATGAAACTTTTAAAACAACTCACCAAGTTATTAATAATAGATATTGTGATATAAAAACGAAGCCTCTCTATATCACAGTTAACAATGAAACTTGTGAAACTAATCTGAATGATTTTTACATAGAAAAATCTAGATTATTAAATGTGGATGAAGAACAATCAACTATGTTATCAACCTTTAATGACCATCCATGTTTAAATGTTCAATCGGGGTTACCAACTCTTAAAGATAAACGGTTAGAATACTTTCTAAAAAATTCTAACAAAATTAAAAAAGTTACAAATTTGAATAATATTTATTTAATGAAATCAAAGGAGGACGCCAAAAAAAATCCTTATCATAAAAAATCTATCGTAACTATTAATAATTCATTATTTTTCACAAAATCAAAATTTAGTTCTGAAAAATGGGATAGATGCTATGATTCGACAATATTTAAAAGTAAAATATTTGGTTACAAAAGAGCCCCCTTATGCAGCGTTAATAAAGCATATGAAAAGCGTAATCAAAAGAATCGCAAAACTAACATGTTATTGATGAGCATTGCATTAGTTTTCACAATTAGTTGGTTGCCATTAAACTTATTTAACCTTCTGTCAGATATGGAATCAGTTTCATCTTCAACTTTATTTCAAAATTTGAACATACCTTTAATATACGCTTGTTGTCATCTTTTTGGAATGAGTTCTGCATGTTCTAATCCAATTCTTTATGGATGGTTAAACGATAACTTTAAAAAAGAATTTAAACTAATTTTCTCCAAACTTTTCTCATGTTCCTTATTTAAATATAGTAGTAATTTTATAGGCTCATTGGGTTTTTAAGTTATTTTTCTTAACCTAATAATAATTATCTATAAATGTGATCATATTTTAAAATAATTTCTCAAGATTTAATATTATATTTTTAACTATTTACGTTTAGTTATGTTCAACGTCCTGCATTTAAAAATCAATTCATTATCGATAAAGCTAAATGATTGATATTATCTTTAAATAAATTTATCTTTGCATAATTAGTAATTGTAAATGTTAAATAATAATCATTATAATAAAATTTTTGTCTATATTGATTTCCCTTTTTGTTTTTCCACCACTTACTTTATTAAAAAACGTGATAATAATATCTTTCCTCAATGTAAAGTAATAAAAATATGCCGAAGAATCATTGAGACTAATCGTAATCAAATATACAATTTCTGCTTTCATGATATTTCATGAAATGAAATTTAATTTACAGAGATTATTACTTATTCATTTAAATCGAATCTATTTAATAATGAAATAAATAAAAAATTAATCCCATTTTATATCATTTTTATTGTTATATAAATTTATGCTTGCTATGTTAGCCAAAGTGGAAGCTTATTTTAAAAAAATGTCTAATACCATAGGAATAGTATATTAAAATTAATTATTATTGCTATTTTTGTGAATAACAATATAAATCGAAAATTGTATTTTGTCAACTACTCGAACTATACTTGTGAATACGCTGCATTTTTTATATCATTTATCAATATTTACATTTAGATATGAAAACAATATTTTATTTTAGTTATAAATATTTCTATCAATTTAGTCAATCCTCTTATTAGTTAATATATTTAATGTTAAGATGTAAGATAAATGATAATTTATTCATATACTATTGTACTTATCAATAATTCATCTATACAATAGATTGAGACTGAACTGGGAAATGAGGTAGTAACATTTAATATTTATAAAAGAGTGGGGAATATCATCACTTGCATAGCCAGGAATTTTCTACATGGGTGGTGTGGGAGGGTGGTATATATTTTACATTAAAATGATTTTATTAAATCATAAATTTAACATCATTTAAAATACAAAATATAAGAGCCAATATAATATTGTTAAAAAATATTACAACTTTATAAACCGGCATGTAAATTGCAGGAAAATATAGATTTATATGATGATTTAAAGGTTAAACATAATTTCGCTCTCATAAATTTTTATTTTTGCTATTGCTTCAATTTTTCAATAATTTATTCTATATTGGTGATTAAATCTCGATGTAGTCAATTCAATCGATTTCAAGATGTCGTGGTTAGTTTACCCCGTTATGAAGAAAAGGTCCTCTCATGTGCTTGGTATTGTGCCAGAACATGCAGTAATTAATGTATTTGGAAAAATTTTTTAAATATATTTCAAAGTATAAAATGTTTTGATTACGTTTCTTGTAGGATTATCTACAAAAATTAATCTTTCATACCAAGATTTAAATTTTAGAATTAATTGGCTTCAGATACCTTTATATTCTCTAAATAAAATTTAGCTAAATATTTAATTTTTTCAATATCATGATTTAATATATCCTCAAAAGAATTTAAAAAATAATAGCCATATGATGAAATACAAATCGTTCATTTACTTGAGTCAAAAATGTATCTTAAATTTAAATAAATGTATTTTTTATAATAATCCTCAATTAAGTTTACTTTAATATTAAAATGATTTGTTTGTCTAAGTGCAAGTGAATCTCAAAATCATAATTTCACTTTCTCCTCAATAATCACATAAATTTCATGAAATTTATGATCGATACTATCTTTTAGTTTTCTAAATTGTAATTTAATAATATTCGTGATTCTCATAACTTCAGCAAAATTTTTATACACTCCAATGATGTCGTATTAAATTTAATAACGTATCAGCGTCAGGTAAAATATCTGGTTCAAGCCATTCTTATATTTCTCCAAGGGCACTCAACATAGACTCTTCTAGATCTATAAATACTGTAGCAATTTGATGTAGAAGGCCACAACTTGTTAGGCGTGCATTTTGCAGTTTCTTCATAGTACAAAAAGTCATGAATAATTTTCATCAAATTCTGTCTCTTTGGATATCTGAACATTTCATGTAGAAAATTTACTTAATCATAGTAGTTATTAGTGGAAATAAATTAAATAGAATTTACTTTGGTTGATAAAATTTTATTACATCTATCAGTGTGTTTAAAAAAATGTAAGAAAATATACTTTAAATTTCTATAAGTAATATTTAAATTATTTATATCTTCTGCTAAAATTTAAAATAGAAACCTATTTGAAATAGAATACTTTACTATTCGAAATTAATGAGAGCCTTGTATATTTTTGCTACAGCCCCAACTTGAGTCCCTAACATATATTAATAATCATTTATTACATTAGACACAAAGGTCATAATTTAAATTATTCAAGTAATAAAACGAATTTATTATTCACTTAAATTGTAAATAATTAACAAAAGAATTTTATTAAACAATGTCAAAAGTTAAAACCTATATATAATTTTAAAAAATTTAATTTAGATTTAGGAAATGAGCATGATATTTGATCACATTGCTTATATTGCTCTAATATGGTTAATATTGTAGCATCATAGATCATATATAATTATATTGTTAATCATATTCATATAAATACTATTTATGTGTGATATTGATATAAAAATATTATTATTATGATATAAGAGGTTGATACAATCCTAAAATCATCAATAAAAATATGTGATTGGATACAATATTTGGTGACGAGGATGGGGTGATATCTTTTTCTAGATTGCCGCTACTTATAGAGGAAAAAATGATATCAACACATCGGGAAATTCAGCAGATTGCATTTATATTAAAATTACTGGACAAAACTGATATGAGAAGAAAAAAGATGTCTTACTCAACAAAGTCGCAAATCGAATTAAGAAAAATTGGATGGGTTTAAAAATAGAAATAGAACCAGAGGAATTAAGGTATTTTTAGAGTTTTGGAGACGGGGAGATGAGTTAATCATTTCTATAAATTCAAAAAATCAAAAAAAATTTGTTGAAGATATTATGCAGCAATGGTTCGTCTTATATCAAATATGGTATGAAGGAATTTGAGCATCATATTTTTTCTATAAGAATGTTCTATTTAGAGTCAATCAATCGGTTATTTTAAAAAGTAGACCTTATCAAAAGATTGCCTTTATCCAAATTTTAGAATTGATTATTAAATCAATTTTAAAATGGTCAAATCAATTCTAAATTTTTCTTCTTAAAGGAAAAGAGCGCCAAAATATTTTAAAAAATTTATATGTAAGCATATTGTTATAATACCATTAAAATTGTTAAATTCCCAACATCCGAAACAAATATTTATAGGAAAAATCGTGTTAGAAAAAGGAGGTCAAGAATAGCTACATGTCATCTTATTGGTTAATTTTAGTTAAATTTGTTTTACTAGAAGAATATTATTATGGATCTTTATTATTCGATTTGAAATAAACAATACATTAATTATTTTACATTAAAAATTTGCAATTAATTAAATATACTAAATAGGTAAATGTTTCATTTCTTGAACACGCTCCTGAGTTAAGTTTAAATAAGGATAAAATTAGATTATTTTACCGATGAAATATTTGTTTTGAAACGTATAGCGCCAGCATAATGAGGGGTAGTCACTTTAGAAAGATGGTCAATATAATGATGATGGTTATAATCAGATGATTACTATAAGAAGTTGGTGTATAATTACCATATGTATGTGATCATTGTCAAAAGATGACTCCTATAAAGAGTGGGTCATTATAAGAAGTTGGTCATCCTAATAAGAAATTCAATATAGAATGGTGGTCATCATAAAAAGATTATCCCTATAAAGAGATGGTCACATGGTTTCCCTAGGAAAGTGATGATGACCACTATAAAAAAGTGTTCTCTATAATCAGGTAGTGGTGCTCATTATATACCGAGACTTTTGCCGGCCCAGGGCTAAATCTAATTCGACGGCTTTTAAAACCCATTCGTATTCTGACAAAAACTAATAACATGTAATATGATATTGAATTTTAATCATAATTATGAGTAACGCATATTAAAATAAATTAATTTGCATGACTGTGTATATAATCCCAGGCTTATCATATAATCATTAAAAATAGTAGAACAATTTATCATTCTTGCATTTTTATTTCCAATAGAGGTAAATGCCATTTTCGATTGAAATTAGGGATAGGTTTACGAGGCGGTCTTATGCCATGCAGGATATTAAGTGAGTCTTGATTAGTTTTAGTTTTGAAAAGCTGCTTTCAGTCGATTAGAATAGTTAAAATAATCCTCAAAACAATGGATATATTTAGAATGGCTATATTTATTAAATTATTATCAGTTAGTAGATCTAGGTACATGCTATTTTCTAACGAATCTTGACCCGTTAATAAAATATTTAATTTATTATAATATTTTCTTGTTACGTTTCAGGCACATTTACCAATGCAGGCATATCGGATAAAAACTCAAAATAATTTTTGAAAAAAGCTTAATTGAATCTAAATTAAAAAAAAGATGATAGATAAATAGAATAATGAAGGGTATGAAGATTGAAACAAAAATGTAATAACATAATTTATGGTTTCCTTTATTAATCTCCATTAAATATAAAATGATAAATTATAAAACAAAAATATATTAATTTAACATTACAAAAAGATTTAAAAAATTTAAGTTAAAAATAAAAAAAAAATAAAAAAAAATTTTTTCCAAAAAAGTGAAAAGAAAATTATATCCACAACATCTCAGCTATGTAATATGTATCTTTCCTTTAAAATTTACATCTTCAAAATATCCTCAATTACATAGTCTATAATATGAAATTATAATATTGTAATATCTTCTAATAAGACATTTGTCTAAAATCTAAATATTACAATACCCTTCCACTTAAATAAGACTACCCATTCTGCAAATGATCAACTTTCCTTCCTATTTCTGTTTTACTAATCTTGTATCTCCACAAACGCTAGTCTTCTTTTATTCTTTATCCGATGACTTAT